TTTGGATCACAGCCTTTTCTTTTCCATCTAATTTTAAGCAGCTTTCTCAACCACTGGCCGTGTTACTCATCCCCTTCCTGCTGCCACAATGCACCAGCATTGTCTCTCATGTAGTCCTGATGCATTTTTACCCATGTGCTTTTGTCTGTGTGTAGATGTGCCTCCCTTCATTTAATAGGGATTTACCTGTGTGTCCTTGGAGTAACTGAGAATTAGCAGAAGCTCCATGGCTCTCTGCACTTTGGCAATGCTGTGTTTTTATTTTTCTTGGAAGAACTGGCAGCTCTTGGGATGTTTATTAGGACTTTCAGGGTACTAAGAAAATGCAAACCACTGAATACAAAAGGATGCTGAAGCTACTTGCACAACAACCTTGCTGTAAAGGATAGAGGCAGATCAAAGAAGGGACATAGAAGGTGTAACAGAGATGTTTTTTAAGGAAAGATTGCAAGAGGTGTAAGCTGTCAGCCTAAGAAAAGGAAGATATGATAGCACTTCTTGTACGTATTAATTAAAAGATTGCTACAAAGAGGTGGAACCAGTGTGTCTGTAGGTAAATCATTCTCTGCTGATAGAGCTTAAAGCAAAGCAAAGGAGCTGCAAGTTGGGCATAGGAAAACCTTTCTAGGGTAGAGAGACACTCTAGGGAATTGCCTGAGAAGGTTAGAAAACGTGGTGGGAATCCTGAGAACTTCTGATAAGAATGGTTTAGATGTTCTTAATCCTATGGCAAGAAAAAGGAATTAACTGGTCTCCTGACTTGCCCTACTTTCTGTTCTAGGCAGAGAGAAAAACTTGTGAGGCAGTGCTGATGTGTTCAATAAATTCTCTTGCTCTAGCTCCTTTTGTTCTTCCTAATAACCAGAAAAATGCAAAATGTGCATAGTTTTTCAGGCATCTCTTCTAAACATAACTTTTCCTTTTCTTCAAAGTCAGGGGAAAATAATTCCTTCATCAGAATCTTCCCTCATGAAATGGTTGTTTCTCTTGGCAGCTTTTCTTTGCAGTGATTCACTGATTCCTTTCAAGAAAAGACAGCTAGATAAAACTACGAGGATAACCAAAGCAGTGTAGGTAGGAACAAAGTGAGAGCTAAAATGTCACAGAAAAGTAAAATCTGGCATAATGAGCTCATGCATTCCTATGATCATAACATTGCAGCACCTTTCCTTTGGGTGGTGCTCTCTTTGGATCATGCATGGCTCCATCTTCTGCAAGGGAAAACAAGATTCTGGACAGAATCCTTATTCAAAAATCATGAGTGAGGACCATTTCTTCTGTTCCAGATTAGACCTGTGGCATAGTTTAACCCCAGCCTGACATTAAGTCCCATGCAGCTGCTTGCATAATAATAATAATAATAATAAAAATAGCAAGAGAGGGGAATAAGGACAAGATGTGGACAAACAGTGAAAAAAGCCTCTAAAAATGTGATTTTTTTCAGCCATTTCTTTAGTCTGCTTTCTGGGGTAGCTGCAGAGATACTTGTGAGTGCCAGCATAAGGGAGGAGGTGGTGTGAGGGTATGAATCTTAAAGGAGGAGGAAAAGGATGGGCATCATCCTTACCTCCACAGTGACCACAAATAAGCTTGGAATGGTGCATTAAAAATGAAAACTGGTGTGTTAGACAACTCTTCTAATTGCTGCTTTTCTGATCTAGAAGGAAAACATAATCACACAGCCTCCAGACACTAAAATTCTACTTTAAAAGACAACAAAAAAGAGACTACAACTAAATCTTCCTTTCCTCGGTCCTTAAGATGTAATGCTCTCACTTTAAAATGCCCTCAGTCTTTAATTAATAACAATAATAATTATTTATTTATCTAATAATAACTTGTTTATCCAATAAATAATAATTTATTTATCACTGCTAATTACCATGTTTCTGCTTCCTATATTGTGTGTCCTGACATCAGGAAATCCTGCAAAGGTTTTATCTGCAGGATAAAGCAGATAAACTAAAGCACATTTGGGTTCCTACAATGAGTATGATTTAGGCTCTTCCTTGTAGCACATCACTTGTTGTCCTGCACATCTCTTCCAGTGGCTGAGTGGATCTCTGATAGCTCAGAGATGTCATCTGATGTGGTACTGCATGAAACACGATGGCTTTAGCCAGACAGCAGCATGTAAAAAACTCAAAATAGTCAAGGAATGAAGTTATTTGTATTTCTGACCTCCAAAAATGGTCTTATTCTGTGTAATGATCGCTGAAGCCATAAAATTATTGCTTATTAAGTTATAAAATTGGAGCATTTTCTTACTGCCACCAATATATACCTATGTATGTATTCATTCACACAAATTCTGTCACTCTGCTGGCTCTTGATGTCCAGCTCTCACTGTCTGGTCCCCACTCTGATCCTCCCAGCTGACACTCAATAAAATACAAGCATTGCATGAGTTGGATTAAAATGCCAATTTCATTGTTGCCCATTCTGTTGGGTATAATTGAATAAATTTTCCCTCCCTGAAAAGCTTCTAGATTCACACCTGCAGTGCTGTTTAAGAAATTAGCAGTGAGGCTACACTCAGTTACTAACAGATTCTACCTTCCAAGACATGCACCTGATTTCCAGACTGAGTTATTCTTCCAAAACTGATAAGAAGCTTTTTTTCATCATTCTCACTGCCTGGTCAACTTGCATGATACTAAAGTGAGATATTTTACAGGCATCTCCTATATTATAACTATCTCTAAGCTACTTAAGTCAACAGCCCTGAGAGAAATAAAATTAACTTTGCCATAAACCTATAGTGATCATGTTAATTATATTTATCTCCCTAATTAATTGTTAATTGGAATGCATATTAACCATGCCATTAATTTTGTCTGGATTGACATCACGTTCACAAGCTTTTGATTATCTGGATTATGGCATTTACTTTTGAAAATGTTCTTACATTTCTTCAGGTCCTCTGAAACTTGCCACTGTTTCCCAACAAACTGAAAAAATTATATATGTGTCCCCCAGCCAGCTCTGCTGAAATAACTAGGTACAAATTATACAGAAATGCAAATATCAAATTATAAACCTTAGTATAAACTCATTAATGTCATCCTGAATTATTCTTGATATGGAAATATTTAATAGTCTCAGCTATACCAAACATCTTTGTCATCCCAGATACACAACAGGTGTGCTTATTGATCTCTTTTTAATTAACTGTTATGAAGGCCAAGATTTCCCTTAGTAATGAATCACAACCAGAATTCCTGCAGCTTTGGTTTACTCAGGAAAATATCAAATTCCTTTTATTCTTATCAATATTGGCAATAGCTTGTTCTTTGTAGCTGTTTTTCATGATTAAATGCCTCCATTCTCAACCTCTGGCTTATATTAATTATTATTATTTTTTCTTATAACAGTTCCAAATGTAAGTCTGCTTTGTTTTCTAATTAATATGATATTCCCTCTGAAAAAAAGGGAGGCATTTTTTCAGTATTCATGGTAAATATTCTTACTTGGCATTCCTAGTTTATTGCACTTTTATTTTCTGGCTTATTTTAAAGGTAGAAATATAGTGGTTTGGGTCTTAATCATGCTTGCAGCAAACAGTGTAAATTGGTGTGATTTCCTGTACAGAATATACATACAATATTATAGTTATATACAGATAATGGTAGTAATATTTAGGAAATAATGATATTTATTTACAGCTTGTACTTAATAATCAGATCTTCTTGAGGTTTACATTGTGTTTTATTTCTCTGTATTATCTATTATGTATAATTTGGCTCCTGAGTAAACACAACCTTATGAATGGGTTTGTCTGTATTCAAGGTAGAATTGATTTAAACTGTTTTCCTTAATAAACCTCTGATATGTACAGCTGGGATTTCGTTTCTGTTTATTATATGTAGGGGTTTAGATTGGGTAGGGTTTATTCAGTTGGTAGAGTCTTGGGTGTAAATTAGTGAGGTGGTTTTTGTTAGATGTTGTTTCTAATTTTTGAAAGCCTTTTACTTAATTTTTTTTAAGGTGTTTTTAATAGTCTGTTGTATTTCTTTATTTTGTTTGTAGTAGGGGATATGGTATACTTATTTAATGTCATGTTCCCTAGCCCAGGTGTTGATAAGGTTGTTTTTTAAATGAGTTCTGTTTGATTTCATCCTTTTAGGGGTACTATGTTTCTAAAGGACTTGTTTTTCAAGGCCTAGCATGGTGTTTCTGCCCAGTTTCAAACCGAAACCACCACAAGACGTTACACTGATTTTTAGGTTCGTGATCCATATGCTAGGATGACTCTGCTTGTGCCACACACAGCATTTTGTGTTGGTGAGGAACCTTTTGCCTCTCACCACCTCGTAGGCAGCTCCATGTCTCCCCTCCGGTGCCCACGGCTGTGACTCACAACTCAGTTGCTCGTGGTGTGCTAATTTTCACCCCCTCCCCCTTTTTGTTACATGCAGGTGCAATTGTTTGGGCCTTTTCATTTGATTCAGTAGGTTGGAGCAGACACCAACTAGTAAACCGTGTAGTATTTATAGGCTACAGCATATTCCTATACAGCTCATTTCATAAGCATTTGGCAAAATGTGTCTCTTGAGGTGTCGGGAGCAGCGTAATTTTTACAGAAATTGCCATTCCCTTTCTTTTTTTCCTCAAGCTGCTCCATTGTAAACACCTCAGAACAATTTTAGCAGCGCAGGAGTTGGATTCCCCACAGCAGCTTGCTGCAGCATCCTGCCAGCTGCCCCAGTGCACACAGGGGTCACGCACAGAGGCACAATTCACCTCTTGTGTTGTGCCCAAGAGGAACTGCTGGGGTTTTCCACTGGATCCTCCCATATGGAGGGAGACTACACCCTTCTACAGGATCAGTGCTCCAGCAGAACCACACCTGCCACTCCAAGAGGACTGCAGCCACTCCAATTTGGAGAGCTACCAACACGCTGGCCAAAGGGGTGTCAGATTGTATTCTGATTCTGTTAGTGGTTTTCCTTTTGTATTATTGCATGTATTTTGTTTCTTTTTCCTTTTTCCCCAATAAATTGTATTTCTGACTTGGAGCTTCTCCCTGGCTTTGCTTTCAAAACAGAACATATCCTTAACAGGATTGTATCTTCTGTGCACTTGAATGGCCCAAGGCTTCTGCCTGTTGGGTGTGACACCTCTGTGCAGAAGCAGTTTAAACTCATGCTCAGCCATGTCAGCGTGAGTCCGGGCTGCTGGAAACCTCTGAGACCCAGAGTTAGGTGGGTTTATCAGTGATGGCAGTGACAGGTGCCACCAGCCCCTGCTCCCCTCGGTGGTGACACCTGGGGCAGTCCCTACTGCAGCTGCTGGTGCTGAATCAAGGTGGAGAGAAGAGGAGTTTAGACTCACCCAAAGTCTGGGAAACACCAGGGAGAGCCTTGGCAGGAGGGCTGCCAGTCAGATCAAACTGCATCGCTCCTTATTGTAAATGCAGGCGAACCTAATGGGAAGAAATTACAATGTCTGATTCAGTTCAGAAGGCTGAATTATTTCTTTATTATAACTATGCTAAAATACATTAATATGTTATATAAAAGGAGGATACTAAAACTACATACTACTTTCTCTGACTCTCTCACAACTTGTGACCTTCTCTGGAGAGCCCAGCCCCAGGTGGGTTGGATTGGCCATCAGGCTCAAACAATCCTCACCAGAATCCAACCAAGCACTCACTCCAGGTAAACAATTCTCCAAACACATTCCACATAGGAAAAACAAGGAGCAGAAATAGAAATTGTTTTCTCTTTCATTTCTCTCTGTGCACCTCTATGAAAAATCCTGAGAGGGAGAGAAATGTGTTTGCCACAACTCCTCACTCCCTGTCCCAGGAAAGCAGCAAATAATAATCCCATGAAAGGCTCTGATGCTAATGAAAAGACATTTTTTTGAAGTGTTTCCAACCATCTCAGTTGCCTGACCCACTTTCTGAGCGACTGCACCCTCTAATGGGGTAAAACAGATTGACTTTCAAAGCAGCCAATTTATTTTTCTATTGTTTATTCCTTTCTGGCCCCTACACATATAACACAACAGCCTGTTCTTGTGACAGTAAAACAAACACAGTGCTGCTGGATGTAGATTACAGGGGACACATGAATATTCAGTAAAAACTTCATATGATTCATCTCTACTCTGGGTTAATGGAACGTATGTAAACAGCTGTATATATCCATGGTGAAATGAGAAAGGAATTTTAATCATAGAAAAAAGAATTTATTTCCCTTTTAAAAGCTGGGGAAAAAATTCCAGAAAAAAAATTTGGTTTTATTTTCCCTGTGTGAAGCCATCTCATTTTACCAAAACTTTGTGGGGAAGTGAACATTTGAACAACGAAAGGAGACAAAACAGACATTTAATCATGATGTTGCATCTTGTCCAACAGGTAATTCTCTAATGGACCAATGAAAGCCAACGATGACAAGTTGTGGTCAACAGTCCTTGAATGTGCTGATGGTTCTGCTCTCATTACTCTTGTCAGCTGGTAACTTTCGTAATTTATCTTTTACTGATGTGTGCCACAGCGAAAAAATAATTGCAATTTAATACTGATTGTTAATTGCCTAATAAATAAGTCATAGGTTAGGGCTTGAAGAGACCTTCAAGATCATCTAGGTCCAATATAAATGAAGCCTCATTGTATTTAAGAACTGGAAACTGGAATTTGAAATGGAATTGAAAATTCACTTCAAGAACAAAGCAGACTGGAAAGTTGAAAGAGTAGCTTTATTTCTTTGGATATGCTATTTTTTCAGCTCACCTAAAAGAAAATAATAATTTCTATACCACCATAAAACACATCCATTTTGCTAAACAACCATCCACTGGAAGCAGAGCAAGCCAGGTTCCAGGTGTGTGTTTTTTCTGTGTGCACACCAGAGAATGTAAAGCACCTGAGGGATTGGACTTGGAATCTGTCCAATTTTCCTGAATATACAGATTTGGCTGGACCACGGATGTTTCTCCTGATGCTTGGTAGTTCTGCTCTAGATGTTTGCTATTAGCACACAGGAAGGGTTTGTGTGGAAATGTGCCATTAGACTGAGAATTAGTGGAGTGCTCTGATTATTGGTTGTATTTGTTCATCAGAAGTCATTTATGGCATTAGGGGATTTTTGTAATCATGACTGAATATTTAAAATAAAATTTTAAAAGGTTCTCAGTCCAAATAGATTTGATCTTACAGGTTTTTAGTTCAGTATCTTTTGTCCTCCACTCTTGAGGGAGTTGTTAATGCAAAGGACTTTTTTTTCAATTGCTGCTCCTTATTCTTTTTTGGTGCATCACATCTCCAACCACCAGAGTTAAAACTTTACCAGACACCCTGTTTCTTCAAGTATTCTTGTGCTCCAGTCAAAATTGCTACTACTGAGTCTGTGTCTTTAACATTTATAAAATATTAATACTCAGATCCTCATCAGTCAGTGCAAGCATGTGTTTTGTTGCCCACAGTCTCATTGCTTGTTTGCAGTGTTCAAGTTGATTCTTGCTAATGATAGTTCATTATTTAGCTCTGACACAGCCCTTTTTGCTAACAATGTTATAATATTATCAATTAGAGCACTCCTCTGCTCACATTAAATCACTGTTTTCCTTTAGAGCCCTTCCCCTGGAATCCCCATGTATGGAACTTCCTAATTATGGAACAGTCCTCCTCCGATGGACTGGGATCAGGCACAGGGGCTGGAGCTGCTTGTCTTCCTCTAGGCTAAAGAAATTTCAAAAATCCCCTTCCCTGGTGTAGCAATGAACTCAATTATCAAATCCTCAGTGAAGTGATCAAAGAAAGATCAAACCTCATAAAACTGTTCCAGCTGCTCCAGTATTTTCTGTCAATTTTTAAGTTTTTATACCTTTGCCACTCTTTATAGGGGTCTCCTAGTAGAGTTGTCCTGAGATCCCGCTCCTCCAGCCCATTTCCTCAAGATGATACAAATTCCTGTGTTGGAGCTGAGTGGGACACTGTGACTGCACTGTGTATGCAATTTGCTGTATTCAGCCACTGGTGTATTCCCTCAAACCCTCATTCCCTCAAAGCCAGACTTTTTTTTTTTTTTCTCCCTTAGAAGTACTGCTTGTGAAGTGCAATGTTTTTATTTGAAACCAATTACACAGAGCTTTTACTTCTTACATAATTTATCTATTATCCTTGTTAACTATTGGCATTGTAAATGTGTTCCTTATCATTTTGTTGCTCCTTGGCTATTGGTGTTTTATTATCTGATGTACTATCTTAGCATGTAGAGTCCAGGCTTAATTTGAAATCATCACAAGTCTTTTATGACAGCCAAACTCTGCTCCTGCCTCGTGGAATTTTGCCACTGTCATCTGTAGGAAGGGGTTTAGGTCATTGGTAACTCACAACATATTTTACAGGAGGGAATGTATTATTATTTTTCAGCCAGCCAATGTATTTCTTTTTTGTCCAAGACAAATCAGTTTCCATAAAGGAAAACTACTGGCTTTATACTGTGAATGATAGGGAGGGTGGAGGAGAAAGGATGCTACTCTCACTGGAATGATATCAACCTCATTTTTAACCTGAGCTGCAATGAAAATCTAATGGCAAGACTCCCTCTAAGTGCCCTAGATTTAGAGACTTCCATCTGTAAGATATTGCTTTACTTCCAAGTCTTTGGTATACTAAGATTAACAATCTTTGTAATCAGTTTCTGAGTTGAGAATACTGAAACTTGAGGTATTTTATTTCAGTGCTAGCAACATCACAGTGACTTTTTAGGGGTGGTGAACACTCACTGGTTTTACTGGGCACACAAGGAATGCATAATAAAGGGAGGAGCACCATGCAGTCATGCTATAAAGTTGATTTTCTGACCACTAATTCTTAGATTGGCTTTTCAAATGTTGGTGCTTACTCATTTAAAGGACTGAAACACATCTATAGAATCAGTGCTGACAGCAAGGCTTATATTAACAAGCAAAAATCATCAGATTATTTGCACATTACAGCATTTTTTTCTTTGAAGTAGGAAATGAATATCCACATGGCAAGTTAACATGTGGTAAAATGCATACATGTGAGTATTTCTGTGGTTCCATATGGAAAGCTGATAAACACCAGTCATCCAGAGAGTCTTGGGACTTTAATAATTTAGTATCTAAATTAAAAATGTGCATTAGGCAGATCTCTAGCTGTGACCAGATAAAGAAGTTTGACATTTGCTGGCTGTGTAGTTTTTAAGGTGAAGTAGGTAAGTCTTGTGATGATGAAGCATGACAGACTATTCTCTAGATACCAGTTGGAGCAGAGAGAGGAGCATCTGTGTCAACTGTTCAATAACTGTTTTCAAAAATAGCCTGAAAATTAGCACTTGCAACTCCAGACACAGCTGCACCTTTGCAACAAAAAACTTAAGGCTTTTACAGGTACAATGCTTTTATCTGAAGCATTTCCATAGAAATAAGGTCTTTAAACCTGGGGATTTAAGCAAAGTTATTTTCAGGGAAAAAAAAATAAAGAATAAAAGAAGAAGATAAATTGGATGAAAATAAATCCCACTTTGTTTATTATTGTCTCTCTGATCCACAGAGAAGCAAAGACAGCAACTGAAATTATACCGATCACAATAAATGATGAAAGTGTTTTCTCTGTGTGCTGGGTCTGGCTGGGATGGGGTCAAGGCTGTGTTTTAGGCTGGTGACCAAAGCAGTGCTGATATCACAGAGGCTGTGAGGATTCAGCCTTGGCTTCCACATTTCACTTTCCTCAGAGCTTGAGCCCTTTGGGGTGTCTGTAGGGTACTTGTACTCTTAAATGATGCTGTAAGGCCTACCATAACACAAACTGTGAGTGTGGAACCAAACACTGACTCCTGAAAGTCCTTCAAGAAGCTGCATATGGTTGCTTACAACCATTTTGGAAGAGATCTCTACCCAGCCCCTCTGCACAGCTGAAAAGCTCAGGCAAATTAAGATGATAAAAGGGTTATCAATGGACAGCTTCTTTTTTCCCCCAGCAAAAGTGCTGGTGAAATCAGTGTGACACATAACTGTAAAAAAGAAAAATGCTCTCAGAGCTGTTATAAACACTTTACATGAGAACTTGTTAAGGAAGAAATGTAAGAACTCCCAGGAACACCTGTATTTTATTAGTTCTGTCTATTTCTAAATTCAAAGTTGTTCAGATTTGTTATACTGTTTGTAATGACAGTTTCTGATAGAATATTCCGTATCAAAGATTGACCTTTAGAGAAGAAAAAAGAAATCAGGAAACAAGTAAACCAAGCGCCATCAACCTTTTTTTGCAATTTCTACATAGACTTGTTGTTTTTATTAAGTCAGCCCAGGAGAATCAGGCATGAACATTATTGTGTGTTATGATATAGATATCCCTATAACTAGAACAGCAGTATGAAAACATTTCCCTGAATACTTTTGTGCCTCTTAACATGGAGGGCATTACTTTCCTTCCCTTAAAACAAACAATGGTAATCAAAAACATAGAAGGAACAAAATTCAAAATACAATAGAAGTCTAAACACTGTTACCTTGAAGTACTAAATGTTAAAACATCGAAAGTTCTGAACTACTGATGTTTTTCAGAAATCAACCAACAATTAGGTTGATTTTGGAGTTGATAGCATGCAGATGACAGAAGTGACCGACAAAGCCAATGTTGTTTTTGTTTTCCAGTGTTGTCCGCACATTTTCGGGTCTGCGAACCGTACACGGACTACAAAGGTCGCTACCACTTTGGATTTCACTGCCCCCGTCTTTCTGACAATAAATCTTACATCTTTTGCTGTCACCATAACAACACAGTGTTTAAATATTGCTGCAATGAGACAGAATTCCAGACTGTGATGCAAATGAACTTAACGGGGAATGCAGATGGATATATGCATAAGTAAGTAAATTAGTTTTAAAGTACTCTTCACCAAACTGTTCCTGGTCTAATAACAGAGTCTGAGGTGCACTTAATGATGGAAGCAATTATAATAATTACATATACAGAAAATCATTACTAAAAGGTTTTTTGTTGTTGCATAGCTCCTTAAAGAAAGTATTTCAGCTTTGCTTTCTTCACTTTGACATGGGCTATAAACATTGCAAGGAGAGTAAAAGCTGCATATAAATGTGACAAATAAAAAGTTACATATAAAAGTTAGAAAGGTCTTTTCCCTGACCCTAATTTGATCCAAACTATGTTTAAATGTTCATCAGTGAAAATAAACCCCAAAGCTGTTCTTAGGTGAGGAAGTGAGCTGACATTTTCCATATCAACCTAAATGCCCTATTTGGAACCCCTGATGTTTTTGAGTCTTAATTTCTTGTAAAAAATCACTAGCCTTGGGGAACAGAATGTATTTGCTTTTATACCAGCATTGTGTGGTTTCCTTGCCTGTTACCTGGCATACTTCCATGTTCTGCTGAGGACTGTCCCCCAGAATAAATGTCAGGAAGTTTTTTATTTATAAAGAAGTAAGAAGTAGCAAATAGATCTTTGTTACTGAATACCTATTTACAGGAACAAAATCTTCCCTTGTGGTCAGTTTTCTATTTAGTATTGACATTGTGGCCACACTGATCTGCTGTGATTTCCCTTGTGGTAATCCCCAAGATCGAATTCTGATCAATCTTCTTTCCCTGCCATTTTATTCTGGTATTCAAGGAAGGGGCAGATTAAAGCCAGGTGAGATCACAGTGTATGGATGGCTCTTTACAAGAGGATTTTGGTGTTTTCTATGGTGCCAGTCAATTGGTGTGTTGTATTCACCCCTGGCTGGTCTAACTCACCGTGTACAGCTGTGCTCAGGTTGTGGAGTCAGCAAAGCATCACCTTCCTTAGCAAACACTCCTCACACAGAGCTGCCCAGAGAAATGTCAGTCTTGCATAGATGTACAAGTTGCATTCTCTAAATTTTCTGGTTGTTCAAGTGTCAATCACCTGCAAAGACAGACAAAAAATAGACTACCTATATAAAATATCTTTAAATCAGTGTGGATCTACACTGTTGTGTTACTTCATGTGCAGTTATGTCCTTCAGGTGAAATTTCCTTGTCTTGGCTTTGTGGTGCATCTGGGATCATGAGAACAGATGACACAGACCACTGGGAGGACGCTGTAGTACCAAGCCCATTAAAGACCATCCACTTTCTCCACCTTTTGTGCAGCCCAGACAATCCAGCAGCTTTCACCTGGGGCTCCCCAAATATGGCAAGATAAATAGTCCCAGGCAACCAGGTAGAGTTTCTAGCCCCAGAATGTGTATTCTACACATGCTAATAACACAGGCTGTGTGTACTGGGGTGGCCCTGCTCCCTCAGCAGCTCTGGGTGTCAGAGAGGTGTCTCAGAACACAAGGGCTCTGCAGGTAGCCACAGACAGAGCCAGAATCTGCTGTACACTTAGAGAGGTAAAATAAGCCTCAGGAATGGGCTTGTGAGACTGTTGCTCCCACACTTTTCCAGGTCTTTGTCCTGCACACAGCAAATTTGTTTTATTTCTTGCCCTGCTGTTCTGTAAAGCTTGCACCAGCACTGCAGACCCCCCCTGTCTCACAGAGGTGGGGATGTTACCATCAAAGGCAGTTCAGGCAAGCACTAAGCCAATGCTTCAGGCTTTTCCCAGTGTCTCAGCAGCTCCTCCGTGTAGTCACGGCCAGAGCTTACTCAGGTGAGGCTCTTCTGCCCTTCCTTTCACCAGCAACCTGGAATGTAGAGGGCAACCAGCCCCTTTCCCAGGCAGAAGAACAGGTCCAGGCTAATTGCAAAAGATGTCCCGGGACACAGAACATTTCTCTGCCTCCAGTGTTGTTTGCCTGCTCACATCTACACATGTGCTCACACCCCCAGAGAAATAAATCCAGGGGTCTTCACATCACAGGGCTGCTGTGTATGCAAGCAGTTTGAAAAAAAAAAAATTAACTTGGTATTCTGTCAACTACAGCATTCATTTTGATGAAAATATTTAGAGCAAAAGGCATAGTATTAGTTTTTGTGTAGAACCATTTTTTAAAAGTCACTTTGTTGAATTGTGATGGAGGAAGAGGTGCATGTGTAGTTTTGTTGTGTGAGATTTGAGGCTGAGAACCACCTGCAGACTATTTACCATCTAGTGCAGGATTTCCTAGGGGAATCAGCTGTGTGTGAACTTTTGCAAAGCTATGTGACATCCTACTGGATAGAGTAAAAAGCCTCTGGAGCTGCAGTGTAGAGAAGTGCAGGAATGGAACTGGTGTTGCCTTGTTCCTCAAATATCACTTCTGATAAATCTGTCAGCAGCAGGAAAATTAAGAGATGCCGCTTCCTACCAAAAACTCTACCCATGGAGTAAGGCAGACAGGAGAGGAGAGATCTCCTCACTCTGAGCTCAGTGATAATGGTAGAAAACTTGCTGGTGTTTTTAGAAGGAGCAGAATGTTTTTAAAGCATTAAAAACATTTCAAAAAGCTTCTTAAGTAATGTTCTGACTTTATCTATCATACACAATAATTTGGATTCTAATGCAGCCAGTCTTCAGTTTACAGTGACAAAGTCAGGTCTTTGTTTAGATCTAATTTCACACACCACTGAAAAAAACTCTGATGAAACCTATTTTACTGTGGCAAGGGAGAATAATTTAAGATATGGGAAAAGCAATGAACTTTAAAAAAAAGGATTATAGTTTGCAGGGAAGAGTGATTCAACATTATTGCTTGGTTTATTTCAATATTATTGTTTGGTTTATTTTTCCCCTTAGCCATTCTTAGCGATCACCGAAACCAATTTCTTGTTTTATAATACAGTTGAGGGAAAAAGTTAATGAAGTGACTTGTGACTTCTTTGATATGAAAGGCTCAAAAGGCACATTTGTCTTCACCAGTCCCACAATGCAACTATAGCCACATTTATTTACATTTTCCATTACTGTAATACAATATTTATATGTTTTTATAAGACAAAAATATGGGAGTATTATATCTTTGCAATCATGCAAATTAATCCGTCTATAATATTTTTGAATGTGAATAATTCATTTAGTATTAAATATAGAAATAAAAGTTATGTCTAACAGAAAGGGAAAGCTCTAAAATCCAAAGTATTTTCCCTTAGAACCATCTAAGAAACTGTTTAACTATACTTAAAAATAGTATCCACTTGAATCTAGTTTGTCTAGTTTTCAGTCAGGTTTTCTGTTGTGCATATTTTGGTGGATTATCAGTAGTGCTGCTATGATACATGTCCTTAATCTGCTACTGGAGCAATGTGCTGTCAGTCTGTAGTGTATCCATGTTTTTCCTTGTCTCTCAGTCTGGTTTGTCAGAGTGGAATGGCTTTTGCACACCTCATTCCAACACTGGCACCCAAAGCAGTGTGAGAGCAGAATAGCTGGAACATCTTCCCCCAGGTACTGAATGTCCCCTGCAGAAATGGTATTTGTTTAAATAGCACTCAGAGAGTCATCTTTACAAGAAAGAAAAAAAAAAAAAAATATATATATCATCAATCCCACTACCAAGTGTAGCAAAAATGTGTAAATTGGCAGGGAAGACCTCTCAGATATGGCAGGAACAGATTCCTCAGGAAAACTCAGGATTGGACAAAGGCTTGGAGATAATTATAAGAGAAAAATGGGGGTGAAATCTCATTTAAAGTGTAGATGCAAAAATTGCACTGGTTTTCTCAGTACCAAGGCTGTAATTTTGCATTTCCTAGGGTCAACCCTTATTGTTACTAATCCAAGGAACTGCCCTTTTTAAGTAGAACAGGGGAAGGAACTATTTCTGTGACCATCTGCCCACATTTTAACTCTGCAGCTGTAGAATTCAGCCTGCAATTGTTCAAATTTGTTGGTTTTTTCAAACCTGAATTCCAAAATGAGTTATTTTTTGTTCACGTGCTGCACATAAAACCCAAGAAAATCTACTGAAAAGATATAGGCTAGTCATAACCAGCTTGTTATCTGTCTCAAAAAGTAAATGAATGAGATGGATGCAACTTGATATACACCCTGTAATGGAACAAACCCTAAAATCTGAATCTCAGCAAATTTAGAATCTGTTCACACTTCAGTTTTAGTAAAAATTAAACTTCTGCCCAAAAGAACAGGAAAACCAGATTGCAAGGATAAACTGACAATTAAATCATTCAGGTCAGTGAAATGAGAGCAAGTCCTAGAAGTTTTTGGATTCCAAGTTCTTTGCTGTATTTCTGGCCTTACTGTTATTCCATGTAAATAAGATTGTTTATTTTCTAATGAGGACATCTTGATTTGCAGAGCAGTTTTAATTTTTATTAGTGGCCATCAGAAAAATTACCATTTTCTACCACCTTAATAATTGAAGAAACAGAAGCTATCAATGTATGGAATACATTCTTCATACATTCTTCTGCATACTAAACATACTACTTACTATTTTTACTTGTTATTTTTAACGAGGCTCTTTTGATAGTGCTGTTGTCCCATTGTCTGTTAATTAATATAAAGCAGCCTTTAATTTTTGTACTTGTGAGAAACAGATGTATTTTTAGGAGGAGCAGATGAATAGCTTACATATTGGCATTATTATTAAAATGCTGCTTTAATTTGGAACACTCAAAATAGCTCTAATTTTCACTAGTCAGAATTTTGGTGGATAAAATTAAATATCTAAAATACAAAAAAAAAAAATTATTTTGAGTTAACTAGAAGGAATTTTTTTGCCTCCTTACATTGTTGCCAAAACAAATGTTTCATTAGTGTGGGTCAAATACAGCTCACCTGTATGTAAAATGGATCCTATTGGCAATAACGATGAGCAAGAATAGGATTTGTCCAAGTGCACTTCTTGATTTTTCCAGACTTTGCTTGCTTTTTATTTATGTTAAAAGAATATAGAGGAATTTACCCGCAGTGGGACTAAATCTACTGGAAGTCAAGAACAGCACCGCTGAGAATCCTGGATTAACCAGATCCTGTTTTACTTTCAAGGGCCTGAACTGCAGATTTTAGTGCATTACTGAGATCCACCCTCTGTTGTGTGAAGTTAGGCTTGCATGTGTAAGTCTTTAGCAGAGGCAAAGACTGGAGTTAAGGGTTTTTAGAACATTAAACTTTGCCTACTTCTAATCCTCCTGGAAATGTTCTGATTTCTTTCTTTTTTTTTTTTTTTTTTTTTTTTTTTTAATTTTAATTCTAGGCTTGTGTAGTCCTAAAGTTATACAGGACGGGAGCCATTAACAGCTTGGACCTTCCTCTTGTTACTTAGTCATTTAAAGTGGAACCTCATTTTAATCTAAGGGCATTATAGCTGTGTAGTGAAAAATCAATCCCCAAAGGGAAGAGTCAGTCTGTTGAAGTGCTGACAGATAGCAACACAGAAAGTAAAATTCTGATTTCTTGTTTCAAATCCTGATTTTTTAAAAGTATAAAATGGAAGAGTCATACAATATTTTAAATAGAAATAAAAGTTCAAAGCAGAGACTTGAAATCTTTTGATCCAGAAAGGCTGGAGGACATGTTTTTAAAATATCAAAATATCCTTCTGGTTTGCATGTATAATATGTCTTCTCATCCTTTTTTCTCCTTTTTGCAGCACTTCCATTTTGATCAATGTCCTAAAAAAATATGATTTCCTCCAAGTTTCTCTGACTGGCTGTGAAAGGAGAGCATGGTTGAGTGTGTGTTCAGTTTTGAGTTTGGCTCCATGCAGATTTGGGTTGCCCACCTATGACTTGGATATAATTTTTCTGAGACTGCCTTCCTAATGACAGTTTTTACTAACATCCCTTCAGCTTCCTCTTGGTTTCACAGTGTCCAGTACATGTACTTCTACATTAGCTCATGGGTCTAGATTAGCCTTTCTTTTGCTTTCTACCTAGCACTCTCATTTTTGTACATTTCTTTCCATCTCAGTTCTGATCTCATTCTCCCCACTCACACAGTTTCCAATCCAAACTGCATTTACACCTGACAGTCATTTTTCTTTTAATAATATTTCATCTCCAGCAGGGCATTAGCACTTCTTCCCCTTTTTGACCTCCACATTTTTTACCCCTTACACTTTTACTCCTGTTTTTCCCCCATCTCTTTTAATACCATTAGTCATCTGTCACAGCTTTACAGCTCTCTGCACCACATAATTGCCATGGCCTTTATCTATATATACACATTAAAAGTACACCAGCATGCACATCTCAATGTTATACATATTTTCCTTCCTCTGAAGTGAATTGTATAGCATGATTTTGCCAATGTTCTTCCTTCCTAAAATTTATTACCGGCCACATTAAGAGGTCTTTAGCAGCCACTGTGGGAAGCCTATGGACAGATGAGAAGGACAAAAAATTTTGTAAGACAGGTGGCTTTAGTTTCTAAAAACCATGCTTGTAGCAGTATTCATCTAGAAAAAAAAAAATAGCTCAAATTTAAAGACACGTGCTTTGGAACAATATTTTGTTTCAGCCATGTATAAATAACTAATTAAACAACCAGCCTTGATGAACTAACACAGTGACCACTACTGAGAGGTAACTTTCTTTGTTGTCCCTTTTCTTCCTTTCACAGCAACTACAGTGCACTGTTGGGAGTGTGGATCTATGGCTTTTTTGTGGTGATCTTGCTGATACTGGACCTTTTGTATTACTCCTCAATGAACTATGATATTTGCAAATTTTACCTGGCCCGCTGGGGAATCCATGGCAAGTGGATGACACAGGGACAGAGCCGATGGATTAACCCTGCTCAGGACCCAAGACAGACACAGCCTCAGCCAGAGACACAGCCTCAAACTCAGCCCCAGCCTCCAACATCACAGACAGTACACACTTTAAAAGGAGATGCTTTAAGCCCACCCCTGGTGTCTTTTCAGAGTACATCTGCCTGGTAAGTAAGCTAAGCCATACTGAGATATATTCTTTTCCTATTTTGGAGTGTGAAGAATCCCCTGTGTTTGGAAATGCCTGTGAATTCAAGCTCAGCAGCACCACTTCTAGCACATAATTATTTATATCATGACCTGTCTTATTGAATTACTGCTTAGGAGTAATGTCTTATTCTGAAATATATTGTCAGCTTTTAATCCTTTTCTTGGAGAAACAGGTGCTGCCATCTTTCAGTGCTGAGCAGTTTTACTACTGTGTCATGCAAATAAACTACAAATCTGCATCAACTACAAAAGTAGTTTGAATCTGGTCTCAAAGACTAATTGCCATGTGTATCTGTTGCTCTGGTTTTAAAAGACTGCATAAATAGCGACGTTGGGATAGCTTCAAAGTGAGATGTCACAAATCCTCTCTATTTGCGGCATGAGACACAGAAACAACATAAAAACCAGGTTAGTTTTTTTATATGCACAGCCAAAAAAGCTTTGCTTGATCTCATTTGACAGAGTGACACAAGTAGGCTACTGTAAGGTTAAATGCTATGAAGCCAAGACAAAACCTCCAAAAAAACCCTCAGACCAAAAGGGAGGCAGATCTATGGGAGCAAGCAGAGCTTGCAGTTAAATAGAAAAAATTTAATACAGCCACGGGACAAAATGACACAGAATTATTTTGGACTGGTTTTGCAAAGAAAATGAAAGCAAAGGGAGAGAGCTGAGTAAAACATTTCTCTGAAAAAGGTGTCAAGAAAGGCAGGGACTTTTTTTTTTTGGCAAGAAAGCATTAGTACTTGGAAGGATGCAGAGAGAGTACCGAGTCACCACTGTATTTTAGAAGAAGGCTGAGTGTTGAGTTTTGGCAAAATAAAGCAATCTAAGTGTGAAAAGGATGCCAGCAGTTCCTGGAGCTGTGGAGCACATGAAGCCTCAGCTCTGATGTTGGTCTGAAAGCTTCGGGTATGGCTGGGTTACAGATGGGATGGCAACAGTGATGGGCCTTTGATTTCATCATTTGCCCCTAAATTTAAGTGTAAATCCAGAGCAAATAGAGCTGAAGATTTGTGGCAATAGGGAAAGAAGTGGTGGTCAGTTCCGTGATAGAGGAGTTTGCTTGGCCCTGGAGCCAGTCCTGGCTGTATCCAGTGCAGATCAGGCTGAAGGACCATTCCAGCAGTGCTTGCTCAGACAGAAGAGGCTGCTACTTGAGAGAGAATTGTTTGTGCTTTGTTGTGAGTACTCTTCCTTTCATTCCCTCTTTCCTTCTTCCTTCCTCTAATTCTTCCAACTTTTTTGCACATTGCTTTCACAGTCTCCAGTTAGAATTCCCATGTATGTTAAGAGCTACATTTGTAGTACAGTAATCCTGGCTTAATATGTGTGTGTACATGTTCAAAAATTACTGCATCTGCAAATTTACATACTATTAGTTTGCCCTAACATTATAAATTGAAACCATTCAATATTCTTGAAGGATTGGTTCCTGGTCACCTCTCATGACTGACTTCTGTTCTGTTTCCTTGCTTTTCCCAAGGGTTAAGCAGGTAACGTGTGTTAGGATCAGGTGAGCACATCCCATATACTCCTTGTCCTGTGTTGGCAGGAAATGAGCATTGATAAGCCACCCCAGTAACACTCACTTCTTCCCCAGTTGGCTGTTTGTGCTCCCCTCAGCTCCCATAAAATTGTTCCTTTTTTTTCCCCCCCAGTCCTTTCCTTGCTCAGTGGAAGAAATAAGTAGATGCTTCCTTATCAAAACCCTATTTATCCCCTGTATTTCAGCATGCAGAACACTACACTAGCTTCTATATTTCCATTCTTGTAACCTGCAACTTTTGGAACTTGGAGCCTCTGAACCAAGAGCACAGATGATTCAGTCTGAGTTGGATAAAGAAAAAATAGCAATAGGCAATGGTGATCACAGGCAAGATGTTTAGCATGCAAAAGAGGATTTTGAGTAAACAGCTCCCTCAGAAAATGACAGATTTGTGTACTACAGCAATTGCTAAAACAGTGGGGAGTGGGTAGCCTGGCTATTTATTTCTCTGTTAGATAATCTGCAGGTTATATAGATGAAAATATGGTAATTTTGCCCTACAGAATTTAAGCTTAGTTTCAGAGTCTGGTTTTCTGCTGCAGTCTATATTTGATGAATGACCTCAGTACTGTTTCTCAAAATGTAACCATACTATCTGTGAAGAAGTGAACACTTACTGGATTTGTAATTTCCATCTCCATTTTTAAAATCACTGAATCTATTAAAAGACCTGTTTTGAATTCTCTACCTGAATTTCCATTATTCTAGATTATGACACCTGCTTTGGTAACACACCAGGTTTCCAGTCAAAAAAAAAAAAAAATCAACTTTTCAGTTTATGTTGCCATTTTAATGTGTTCTAAACTTATCCCAGCTTTTCTGTGTGCAGGGAAAACAAACATTTTTCTTTAGCACCTCACAAACACACTATGTGTGTGTATATATATGTATATACATGTGATGTCATACCTTAAGAATGGTTCCTGTGTACAGATGAGCATTCTGAAAATGCAGAATAGATCTTTGAATCCTGACAGGTATGGATATACCCCCAGGCATAAAAAACTTAAATACCGTTAAAAACATTTTCCAAACCACTTTTCAAGTTTTTGTGATGACAGATGTTGTTCAAGTTTTTAACTTCCTGTTCTACATTCATCTGAGCACAGCTAAAAATATGCCCATTCTAGAAAACACTACATGATGATAATAGGAAAGTGATTCTTGCAAATCCCTTGAGTACTGCAGAGAACTGACAGTGCAAGGAACTGTCCCAAGAAGGATGTCAGGATTAACCTATAGCTTGTAAAGTAGTTTTTGAATTTTTATGGATTAAAAAAATGATGTAACTAGTTTTTATTTCAGCATTTCTTCCCTTGCCCTAGTTTAAGTGCTTTGAATTGGCAACGAATCGGGTATGTCAGAGGAAAAATCAAGCAAGTTATAGTATAGAGTGGGTAGAACCATCCTTATGATGTTTAAGCATTTGTCACAGTGGATCACTTTGTTGTTTACTTGAGACAAAGAGAACCATGTATAGCCATAATATTATTATAAGTAAAGAGGTCTGGAATCCATTAGGCAAGCTGCTGGCTGCTCTTGCAGCGTTGTGCCAGGATAGGAAGGAAAATCATTCATCTCAGGAGCATCCAACCCCATTTGCACTAATGTAGCATGTGGATTTTACAGCCCAACTAATGCTGATTTCTTCTTCAGTATGAAACCCACCTGAGGGCTGCCCAGGGCCTGTGTGGGCTGAAGGTCAGGGTGGATGCAGCTTCTGCAACCCCAGCGTGGCACAGCCCGCAGTGGCTGAGATCACACAGCTCACACACCTCCTGGTGATCCTCCAGGGCACGAGCTGGGCCCTTCCACACTCCCTGGCCCCATGGAGAACCTGCAGTCTGCTTACCTGAACAAGCTTTTACAGCTGGAGATGGATCCACGACAAGCAGCAGGCAAATTGTTCCTACTACTCAGCAAAGTAAAAGCCAGGGAGGGGGTAAAATGGGATATTGCCAGTTGGAGAATCGAAATCCTGACTGCTGAAACAACTTGTTTTCCCAACTGTGGGAATATTGTTAATTAATAGTAATTAAAATAGACTAAAGAGAAAGATCACATTAAGATGTGTGAGCCAGGGCAGCCTGGCAGAATTCCTCCAGGTCCTCCATGGCTGTGTTGTGTTCTGGATGTGAGAGGGAGACCTGATCCCTCAGCCTTGCTCTGCTGATGTCAAGCTCCTCCTCACCTCCATCAAGGATGCAAACCACAGGGAATAAGTACTGTCCTGATGTCCAACATTTGCTTCTGTGTTCTGTGCCTTTCTGCAGGGCAGCAGGCAGAGGCAATGTCTGTGATCACACATGCTCCCTGACTCTCAGTTTCAGAAACCTGCTGCTTGGCTAGAATCAGGAAAGGAGCAGCCCAGCAGGGTTAGCCCCTGTTATTTCCTTCCCACAGCTGGAATGGATTAGGCAAAGGCAAATCTATTTTACTTCCCCTTATTAAAGGCTAGAATCTGCTTTTGCTGTGAATTCCTCTGAGGCACTTTGTCTTTCAGACAACAAATGGAATTGTTTCTAACCTGCTGCTATTCACCTGCTACTTGACACCTCTTCAGATGACTACCAAAGCACCAGAGAGAGTAAAACCCATAAAAATACTGGCAGGGTTTAGGAGCCAGCAGGTAACTGAGCATGTCCTCTACAACGGTACAAAAACCACCTGAATATTTTGCTGGTGTGAAAGAATTTGCTTTGGTAGCAGGTTTTGGAGCAGGATGCAGGCTGTCACTGCAGTGCTTCCTTCTGCAACTTGTAGGAGCTGCAGCCTTGCCTGTGTCAGGGGCCATTGGTGCTGCAGTGGTCACTGTGCTCACAAATTCATCTTTGTGGTGACAGAGGAGTTTGTGCAGAGGCTGCTCTTGGTACAAGTTATTTACAGTAAACAAGGGGGAAAAAGCTGCCTCCTTCCATTTTAGGTAAGATCTCAACTTCACATTTGCAGAATTACTTCACTGAACAGGAACAGGATGATGCTGTTTTAAAGATGCAAAATCTTGCATCACAGGGCCAAGCATAGTTTTTATTTAGAGCACCTACCTAGATGGCAAGTCAGAGCAAAAGTACTTTGGATTTTTTAAAAAGATAGAAAAATAATTTAATATTTACACTGTGCTTTTTTTGAAAGAACTGTCTGGGTATTGCCATCATCTGGAAAATCTGTTTGGTTACAAAGCTTAGGTAAGCGTGTAAGGCTATATCTACCATTATCTGTGGGCCTCCAATGCCTTTGGAATATATTGGGTTAGAATAACAGATAATGCTGAATGCATTTTCCTCTAAATGTTCTTACCTTGCTTGCTGGGAACTGCATACCTGTAAAAATAGAACTTAGCTCTACCCCAGCCCAAACCAGTACATCAGGGCAGGAAACCAAGAGCACAAACACACAGTGGACTTGCAATTAAACACCTCAAAATCTGCAGTGCTCCGAGTTCTGTTTGCTTCCCTCAATACAACATGCAAAAAAAGGGAGATTTTGGTTCTATCATTTGCATTTTAAAAATTCAAGTTACTGAGTGGCTGCTTCCTTTCTTCCTTGTGTTTAGAAGTTCACTGTTAGCATGTGAAGTTAAGCCAATATGCAAGGTTTTTATCCAGTTCAATCTAAATCTTTGTGTACCTAGATATACACAAACTGCAGCTTTTGTTGATACATATGTAACACACATTTCATGCCATATTCTCCTTTTCCTCTGGCTCCATAAATTATAGACCCCATATTGATTTCTCTACATTCTTTACTTCAGATTCATGGCATATGGGCTGATTGATATTCCCTATGTTAGCTGTTTCTCAGCCTTTTCATTGATTTGGGACTGTTGCATTCATCAGCGTCAAGGAAATCTTTCTTTTAAAGGGACTGTACAGCTGAAGCAGTTTAACTTAAATATGATAATGAATTGTAAGAAAATAGTAATTAGTAACACACTCAAAAGTCAGTGGTTAAAAGGTTATCTGAGTACTATTGCTGAATGAACTCTTCAAGCTGAGAAAATGAAATCTAGCAAAATTACTGGAAACCAGATCTGAACATCTTCCATATTTACATTTTCTCATCTATTCTGGATAGAATTTTTTGCAGTGAGATAATTACCTCATCCCCATGATGACGATAGAAGATAGAAGAATACAATTTATGTGAAATCAGAACACTCCAGTTAAGCCCACAATTTCACTGCATAACGTCACAACACTGTAGCACCACACAGGAAGGAGTTTGACAACCCAAACTGTATCAACCCATTCCATCTCCTCTGTCACAGGAGAAACCAGCAAAATTTAAAAGATTCTGTAAATATCTTGGTAGTTACAGAAGTCCTACCCCTGGCATCCTCTTAGGTGCCAGATGCTCAATAGTAATTGAGTAATGTTTCACACATTTTAAAAATGCACAGAAAAATAAAATAACATCCTCACTTGGGTTCTGAATAGGACAGAGAAACTTTAGCATCGGCCAAAGTTATTTCCAGGAGTAGAAACAATAAAAAGGGAGGTGTTGAGGAGCTGGAGTTAATGATTTAAACAGACAATCCTTACTTTATGTAAAGTGACAAGAGGATTTCTAAGTAGGAGATTTAGTGTAATTCATTGTTCTGAACTGACAGAAAGCACTTTTCAAAAAAAAAAAATATACAAGACAGGATATTGCCCATCTTCAGTAGTTTATGCTGCAGAGAACTACTTAAAATACCTGCAGAACAACTATATATGTACATTTGGTGCTCTTAACAGAAGTGAGAATGAAGAAGAACAAACAAGGTAAGAGTCTCTGAAGATGCCACTTCTTTCACCTTGGAAAAGGAATTCTCAATGTGTATTATGGATGTCAAAAAACAAGTAACTCCCTAAACTCAAAGAGTACTGAAGATCCTGTGCTGACCTATTTATTACTTTCAGAGTTATTATTAAGCAAAAAGCCATATGTAATAAATAATCCTTCTATGGGGTAGCAGAAGCTAAAATTTCTGTGTGAAATGATGGCATATTATGGGATACCAGACATTAATAGAATAATCAGAAACTTGCATGATAATGTTGAAGGCAGGACCGTAAATGGTAACAATGTCAGACAATTATTTTCAGTGAGAGCTGAGGGCAGGAATCTACCACATCATTACTTTCATTGTCCCTGTCCCCTGATGAGACCATGATGAAAAGAACCACAATAGTCATTTCATCAGAGAAGTGCTAAAACATGTCTGTATGACCTTGATTTTATAATGACGTTTCACTGGACTGCTCAAGAAAAGAACTTAAATGAAAATAACCAAAAATTAGACACATATTTTCATTATCAGCAAGGTATCAGATATATCTTGTCTGTTTAAGTCTCAAAAGCAAAATAGATCAAGAAGCATTGGAATCTGTGTCATTATACTCCTCAATGAGACATGAGAGAACACTGATGTCAATCAGCAAAAAATTTTCAGGCACTTGAAAGCTTTTGGGGAAGTTACATGATCAACACTGTCATAAGTAAATATGCACAGACACCTACTATTCACTGCAGGAAAAAAAAAAGAAAACATACCTCTGAGAAGAGTTTGAAATCCACATAGAAAGTTTCTTGGAAATTTAGAATGCTGAGGAGATTAAAAGCAGCTTAAGACATGAAATGGCAGGAATATGACATGTCACTGGAACACATTTAGAAACACTGCTAATTTCAGTCCCACCTCAGGGGACAACATGATCCCAACACAGGACAAGTGAGGCACATTCCTTCAAATAATTTGGAGTTGAATCGGCACAACATTACAGAGCAGCAGCAGAGGAATGATTGGTTGGAACTTGGCACCCATCATAATAAACAGGAAGGTGAAAAAGGTGTGTAAAAAGTGATTATGTGTGGAAATAAGCTGTCTCACTTCACTTCCCAATAGGGTTATCTGTTTCCTGGTGTTTCTGTATAGTGAGAGCCTTTACTTAGGCTCCAGACAATCTCAGAGGTGGAATGGCTGAGGGGAGAGAGCTGTTGACTGTAAATGTTAAAGGCAGAGATGGAAAGGTGTTTGCACAGCAGAAAAATGACTGTGGGGCTCAAATCTGGAAGGGAGCAAACTCCACCCACAATTTTCCTTCCTGAAGAACTGATGCTGGGGTACATCAGGGAGGAGTTTATGCACTAAGGAGTTGTCCTATTTACAGGAATTGTGTGTATTAATGAGATGATCACATCCCTGAGCTGAGCACACACCGCACAGGCTGCCTCCTGTCTGCTGGAAATCACTGCTGGCTCTCACATGGAAAAGGGGCTGCAGTGAGCTTCATCAGGAATTACAGTAAATTAATTAAACAGTCATTAATTATATTCTGCATTGATTAGCGTTACAGATCTTAGTCACTCACACAGAAGGGGGAGGAAAAGTAATTTTCTGTTGCATTCACAGTCTTTGGAAAGTGGTGAGTCACAGGGAGCTGCTGCAGCCAGCACCTGTTACCTGCTCATCCCCAGCACAGCTTCACCAAAAACATTGTGAAGAAATTGTGCCTGGAAGGCAGCCAGAGATCAGCCTTTCACTCACCAAAAACCCCCCAAACTTCTCTCAAGCTGCTGAACTTAATGGCAGCCAGAAGAACACCTGCCTGATTTGCATTTTAAGGCATTTTAAAGAAAATTACATGGTGGACTGAGAGTTGACTCAATTTATTTTTTTAAATATTCACTGAAGCCTCTTAGAGCATAACAAAAATAGGCATCCCAATTAAAAAGAGCCCCCAGTGTTTGCATGAACATCCAAAAGAAGACAAAAACGGGGATACATTTTTGTGCGTGTGTTAAAAATATTACCCTAATTGAGATGGTATTATAAAAAAAAAGAAAAAAAAAAGATGGTTGGTTGAGCCTCAGGTTGACTCTTCCTGTCTTTTCCTTGGCAATACATAAAGCAAAAGCAGAAATAACTGAAGCAGTCCAACAATCATACTTAGATGCAAGGGGCAGGTTTTGAAGGAGTGAGAGACAAGTGAGATAATAGGAAAAAAGCACCTTGTTAAGCATTAGTAGGGTGAGGAATAATCCTGTCCTCCCATTCCAAGTCCTCATCTTCCAGTGTTTGTTACACTAATAAATTTCACCTGTGAGGGCAACAGCTGCCTCAGTTAATTTTTTTTTTCCTTTATTCTAATTAATAAACATCTGGAATGTTTAAAAAATAGTAAAAATGGGCTAGGGGATTGTCTGGCTTTATCTTTCTCAGAGGCTGCTGGCTGTAGCTGGAGTTAGTGCTGTTGTTACTGTAGGAACCTGTGAGTCCTTAGCAGGTTGTGTTTGTCCACACAGTGCTTGGGTGAGTCAGCTTCTGGTGCTTCCATTTGACAGAGGAAATGGAAAATTGTCTGGGTACTGAGGGCCACACTGAAAATATTTGGCAATTCTGCCATTGCTCTAATTTGTGTAAAAATTTGTAATGCTTTGGGGAGCAAACCCAATACAGCTCCCTCTCCAGTGCTCTGTTGCAGACAGAGAATATCCTAGAACTATTTGAAATACCCAGTGGTACAACAGGTAACTCCCCACCATCAGTTCCCCACACAATAGGATGGCTAAACAAGCAAACTTGGAATTCTGGAGCTCACGGGGAGGAGATGCCAATTAAAAGTATGGAACTGTTGTCTCACGAACAGTGTGAGGCTGCTAGAGGGAAATACCACCTTCCCCAGGGCCTGCAGCAGGAAAAACCCAAGTGACAGATGGGAAAGAATTCAGGAAGAGCTGCAGAACTTATCTGACTTCTGGGAAGTTTGTCAGACTAAGGAGTTGAAGAAGCTCGAGGCTAAAAGAACATTAAAAGGCAATTTGAGCTCGGTCTGTAAATTCTTCATGGCCAGGAGATTTCAGAGAGCAGAGGACTGTACAAAGACAGAAAAATATCCAATACCTGGAAGATCTAATTATACAAATCTTTACTGGTGATAAAGAGCAGGATTAAACTCAATTTAGCTATCTAAAAGTCTTTATCTACTAGTTATCCTCACTAACACATTGAAAGAGGCATTTCCAGAGGGTTATTCATTCCACCTATCTTAAGATGGATGAAATTGCTTGGAAGTCTGGCTTGATTAATTTTTTTGACATTATGGTGGAAGATGAGTTTATAGAAGTTGTTTATCCAGCTGAAATTTGCCAGTGGGATTCATCTCCTCCAAATGTGCATTTCTTTTAATGTTGGCAGTTGATCAAGGAAATGTCTTGAGCTGCAGCAGAACGCCCATTACTTGTGATTTCAAAATTGGCAAGGGAGCTTGTGGAACATAAGCAACAGTGGGAAGAATGGGAAGCTAGGTCTGCACAGCTGGCCAAACTGAGGACCCTAAAAGAACAAAACCCTTCCAAAATCTCATTTATCTGGAGAATGGGTGATGCTGCAGTCCCAGAAGATTCACACCAAGATCAGTTTTCTTAGAATCATTAGGCTGGGAAAGACCCTTAAGGTCATTGAGTCCAACCATTCCACCAGCACTGTCAACCCACATCCCCAAGTGCCACATCCACACAGCTTTGAAACCCCTCCACGAAGGGATGGAGACTTCACCACTGCCCTGGCTTGACAGCTCTTTCAGTGAAGAAATTTCTCCTAATGTCCAACCTAAACCTCCCCTGATGCCACTTGAGGCTGCTTCCTCTTATCCTGGGAGAAGAAATCGAACCACCCCTGTTTTCAGTCATAGTGATAAAGAGCAACAAGGTCACCCTGAGCCTCTTTTACTCCAGGCTGAGCCCCTCCTGCTGCTCCAGCCCCTTAATGCCTGTCTTGTGAGGGCCCAGAACTGGACACAAGATTCAAGGTGTGGCCCAGCAGTGCCAGCACAGGGGACAGTCCCTGCCCTGGCCCTGCTGCCACGCCATGGCTGGCACAGCCATGGGGGTTGGCGTGACCCAAGCATCACATTTTCCCAGCATGGCAAGCTCATCATGCTCACTGAGCAGTCAGAAAACACAAACCAACAGCTGCACATCAAAACCCACAGGATGCTTTTCTCCAGTTGTCTCACCCTCTGCCATTCAGGACTGCAGGGGACAAATGTGGCCCTTCTTCCTTCCCTACCTCTTCCAATAAATGCCTGATTGTGCAGCTGCTGCATAATAGCTGCTGATGCCAGTGGGACTGTGCAGGGATTGCATAATCATTCCAGAGAATGGGAATCTCTGGGCAAAGCCTCATCCCAGGACCGCCTGCCCAGTCCTTCCTCATCTCTCAGGTTCTGTGGGCTCAGAGAACTGGAGAACCTCTTTTCACTAAAGAGGTGAAAATTATTTTTGCATGTAACAGGCTTCCAACTTTTCACGTGGAAGTGCTGTGAGATTATAGTGGACACAAGAGCAGCCAGCAATGGGCTCCGTTCCAGTGTGTGTAAAAGCTGTTGTGGAATTAATCCTCCTGAATTCTTACAGCCTTTCTGCTTCTCCTCTAATGTTGAGGTGCACATATGGTAGCTGCAGCTATCACTGGGTAGCTCTAAAAGTTTAAATTTCTGTCATTAAAAAATGAGCATACAGTAGATCCACAATATGAAAAAAAAAAAAGGGGGGGGTGCAATAATGAAAAGTAACCTAGAACAAAAGGAGAATAACCCACCAGCTGGCAGTCATAATGGTACACAACAAAAAATTTCCATGCTTTGTAAATTATCATTCAAACCATGCCATACCAAGTGGAATTCCTCAGTCCTGTGACACACACTAAGCACTGTTTTTCTTTCTCTGTGACTCAAGAAACGCTGCTCTGCAGGGATCATAGCCAGCCACTGATGAGAAAGTTCCTGCTGCAGCCAAAGGACATTTGATGCCCCAGCACACCCATATCTAGATGCAGCTGTGAGACAATTTAAAAATAATAAACCAGTCACAGTTCCAGTGTGGTGTCAATACATGCTTCTGTGTAAAACCAGCCATACAGCTCAGATAACCATAGAAGAAAAATTGTTTTCTTGCCTTTTGCACTCTGCTAAAATTGCCCAGGGTTCTTGGTCTCTTCTCTTTCCACATCACAGCACACCTCAATTTCTCCTATCACTTTTTTACATGGGAAAGGCAGGGAGGAAAGAGGGAAGAAGCATTTCTGCATAAAATTGCCTCTCTACCATCACTTCCAGTGTGTAGGGCTGTAAGCAATGACGGTGTTGTGGGTGTTGCCCTTCTGCTCCTAACTGCAAAAAACGAAGTTAAAAGTTATTTATTGCTTGGATGATTATGTGCAAGGAAACATACCCTGGATCTACAACAGGAAGCCAAACAGGAACCAAATTAAATTTCACAGGCTTTACTCCTAATGATTTGAGCTTGAGAAATTGATACATTTGTTAATGTTAAAAAGCAGTTCTGTGTTGTTCTTTGAAGTATCTTCAGAAACTTATTTTAAAATAAATAATTTAAATTTTCCTGGTGCTAGAAAAGCCACACAAATTCAGTTGTGAAAAGAAAAATATACACAGAAAGAACAGTTGCAGGAAACACAACTGGTTTCATCCTACAATGAAAGCTCTCAACACAGTAATTACTACATATTTTCTCTTGAGCTGTGACTCAGAAGACTAGCCCCCTTAATACTGAAAAGTGAGAGCAGAAAATAAAGCTCTTGGCACAAGTAATAACTATTTCAAAAAATACTTTTTTCTCACATGTCATTAATAGGCATTTTATTTCCAGAAATGACAGAATCTCCTGCATCGTACGGAAGTAAATAAAAAAAGGTAATTTAACTTGGATAAATATGCAGGTCTGGGCTAAACCACAGGTTTGGTGCTCAAAACTCAAGTGCTGAAACAGATTCCTCCCTCCTAAATAGATGGTTGTGCAGCTGGAGCAATTTGAGCCTGTGGCGAAGGCAGAGGGAAACAACACATGCATCTTGTCTCAGAAGATTTTTCATGCTCGGGAGAGAGAAATGGAAATGGAAGAAAGGAGGGGCAGCTTCCTGAGCCAAATGAAGTGCAGAGGAGCAATTCCAGCAGCCAGAGGGGCTCCCTGGTTGTTGGAGGCCAGCACAGGAACTGGGCACCTTCATCCTCCACCCCTGTTCTGCCTCCTGTCCATGCAGCACCCACCCTCCCAGCAGAGGATTTCTTGGTGATCCAGCTGGGATCCAGTTCAAGCAATATATTCATTTAATCTGCTTTCTAAACCAGCACTGCCACATTCTTTCAAACAGAATCTGGACAAACTTGTCCTGCATTAACAAAAGTCCCCTGAAATCTCAGTGGCTTTCAGTTTTCTTGGCTTCTGTGAGCCTCAGAGGAAGTCGGCTCCTCAAAGCTCTGCAAATGGTACCAGAATATTCCAATCTAATGTTTGGCTGACCCCTTTTCCCTTGCAGCATGTTTCAGCAGTTCAATTTCCATGCAAGTGGTTGGGTTTTAGCCTCAGTTGGACATCAGGACATGCTAGGCAGCAACTTTAAGAGATTGAATTTTGCTGATGGCGAGATGTTAGGGCAAAAAGAACAGGATATTCACCTGATGTTGGCTGGCCTGGTCTGTCATTTAGCTCAGTAGATTATTCTTGAATTTTGCACAGAAACAAAGGTATGCCTATATTAAAAATGCCAGAGATTATATACAGGGACTGTGGGCCAGATAAATATATACATAAATAAACACATGCATTCCTTACATCTGGACACATTTCACCTTTACTCACTAATTCTGTTCAATTAATACCAAGGCACAAACCACATTATTCTGTATAACTGAACTGCATTTACCCTCAGCTGTAACTTGCAAAACCTGTTACAAAACTTAGAATTAACCATCCCTATAAGTAAAGACACTGTGAATGATACTGAGTATAGCTTGCACAGACAGCTTTTTAAATTGTCCTTCATTTATAAAATAAATAGATTAGAAATTTTAAAAGTTACCAGACTTCTCTATAAGTGCTCTTCTTTCTGAATCAAGCAATACTGTTAAGCCAAAGTTTTAATGTTTGTAGGTTTTAAAAATCCCTGTCAGTATTTTCAGTGCATCAGGAGACTGCAAGCAGAGAAAAGCAGTGTCCTAATAAGCCATATCATAAATCACATGCCAAGTTTTACTGCCTTTTTTTTTTTAAACCTCGCTTTCAATTTCTAGAGGATCTGTTAAATTCAAATTGTCAGCACGAATGGAGGCTTTTTTCTCTTTTCATGTATCTGAATTTTAACACACAAGGGCACACTCTTGTAAAGCCTCCTGTACTTTCCGCTGTGCTCTCCTGGATCCAAGAAGAATGGCTTGGCACTCCTGTACAAGAGCTCAGCACACACAGAGACTATTTAAGTGTCTGAGGGATGTCAGAGCCACTCTCTAGGAACAGATTTTGAAAGCTGGTGACATCAGCTTTTGGGAAATTGGGATGAGATGAAATCAGAGATAGCTCAGTCCTTAGCACTGATGCAGAAATAGTTCAAGTTCACAGATTTTTTTAAGAGCTTTTACAGCAGTACCAAGAACAAATTGAGGATCAAGCCCTACTCCAGAGATGCCCATCTCTTACCCCACCCACAGGAACATGCAGCATCTCTTGGCATATCATGAGCCTCAGAGATTCACCTTTCCTGCTACTGAGTTTGTGAGATAGCAGGGGAAAAAAAAATCAATCCCCATGCAGATGTGGGATAAGAATCTGCTTCCCTTTCCAGAGGTAGCTGTGTTTGAGGAAATACCACCAGGCCTTGGGTTTTCCATCAGAATCTTTTAGGATGTCTGTTATAGGTGTTCATCAAATCTGGTCATGAATAAACTTGAGGGAAGAAGTTTTCTGAGCAGAACACGGAGACTGCAGAAACCCTTCCATTAGTGGTACTGGATTGTAAATCAGAGTTGCACACTTGTATATTTGAATGTAGCAGTGTAGAGCGAAGATGGCATTAAGAGAAATCTGTACTACTGCTGCACATTTTTATAATTCAGTTTTTGGGGCCAGTGGGGCTGCTCATTTCCTAAGCTAGGCTTGGGACTCTGAGGTTCCTGCACCATCAGTTTCTTTTGGAGCCTGAGGAGGAATAGAGTAGCTCTGCAGAGTTGCTTTATATTGACAATAAAGGACCCTGTGGTGACTCTCTAGAAATTACCCCATTTTACCATTCTGATGTCTGCACTTAGGTGGGGTTAAACCCACTTGGAGTATCTATGCCATTAAATTACACTACACACAGCAGTAAGTCTCCTTTCCAAAGCAACACTCTTGGACCTTAAATAAGCAGACAAAAAATACTCTCTTGTCTCTATCAATAGCTCATCTGTTTTTAATTATCTTTCTTTATGACAGGAGTGCAATTAAAGCTATTTGGTCACTCCAGTTACATGAAAAAGATGTGAAAATGAGCACAGTCTCAAGTAGAATAATAAGTCTGGAGTTTCTCACATGATACCCACATTCAGTTTGGCATTATGATGCCTTGGGGTCTTGAAAAAACTTGAAAGCAGCTCAAACTGTTTGCTTAGCAAAAGCAGGGTTGGGGTTTTTTTGTTTTGTTTTGTTTTTTTATCATACAAAGAAATTTTGGTTCAGGTGTATTGGCTGTTTAAGGACTGCCACGTATTAGCAAGAAAATTCATCAACCCTCAACCAGATGAATTTCAGCCCCAAGCCACACATCTGTTTCAGGCAGCCTGGTAGTGACACAAGGGTTCCATAAATATCTGGAGAATTAGTAAGCCAAACCAATTTTCAGTTTTACTTGTAATGGGCCATGCACTCTTTTAAGACACTTTGGAAGGCCTGGGGCATTTTGAGTATTTTTCGGAAATAACCTTAAGAGGAGGGAGAAAACATTTCAGATCATGAAGAGTCAGACCACAGCTCTTCAGTGAGGAAAAACACAGCTTTTCAGTGATCATCTTTCAGTTTATGTACTCAAACCTTCATCTGGTTCCTCCATTCAAAACTTGTAAATCAAACTTTGAATGCTTCATATTTCCATTTAAAATAAAAACAAACCTCAGAAATTCTCCTGGATGTTTTTACTTTCCAGAAAAGTGTTCAGGAGTATCAACCAATTCAGGAACTACCAAATGAAAAACACTAATACTAAACAAAAAACACTTGATTTTCAGGAGCATAGGATTACTTCAGAAACCATTATTTACAGTAAGTAATATTTATTTATGTTAGCAACCCAACTGGTTTCACATCACTGCTCTTTGCAAGTGATTATTGTAAAATACGGCCATTAGTAAAAAAATAGAGAAAATTGGATCCTGTGTGGTTTCATTCCTCTCCCACCCAATGCAGCTGACGGGACAAAAGATGTATTTCATTTGTACAATTATAGATATTCCAGAGACTCTACAGGAAACCAGTTTTCCCTCTTAGCTTTGCTCTGTTGGCCAGGCAGCTGTATTAATAACAGAAGTTAAGCCAGCTGCTGTTTTAACACCCATAGTTCAGGGGAAGGAGCTGGACGAGGCCAGTCTTTGCCTGCTGCAGCTCTCCAGGCTCGCTGCAAGTGCCAAACCTCCTCCTGCAAATGGATATTTGTAGGGCAGGCCTTGGATCCAAGCAGATCCTGAGCCTCACTTCCCAAAAGAGCAGC